TTGAGACATGTTCGTGAATATGCAGATGAATTTTCAGTACTAAGAGAAGATGTTTGATGATTTTTGGAAGTATATCTTTAATGTAGTTGATAACCACTGAACTGAGGTTTCAAGCATAATCAATGAAGCCAAGACAAGAGCCTGGGAGAACTGCCCTACAATCTACGGTAGGGATGCAAAAGCTTGTGCATCATCACTGCAGTCCCCACAGCGATGTGAAGACTACAATAGATACACTGACTGAGATAAAGAATTCAGCAATTTGTGTTAGTATGTAAAAGCAAGCTATCATATTCAATCAGAAAACAGCACAGTAAAAACGATGATGAAGCAAAGAGTGAGCACTACACCTTGCTTCATCTTTCTTTGTACCATTCTGTTTTCCGATTGAAAATGTTGGCTACAACTAGCCAACAAGTTCACCTCATTATGGTGATGTCACGAGAGATCGAGCAAGCGTGTCCAGGCGAGATTTTTTTTTTGTCTGATTTTCTTATATGTTATGTGGGTATATTCGAAAAGCACGGAACCGAAATTTTTTTTTCCAAAATCAGATCCCAGCGCGCCAACAAAATGTTTGAAGGCGGCAGCACGTGCGTCTCAGTATTGCTTGCCACAACATTTCCTGATTTCACAGGCGAATCAAATGCACGATGTAAATGTTGTGTCAATTTTTTTTACTTATTTTAATATGCATCACAGTAAATTGCATACATGCTTTTCTTAAGCTGTCTGCAGAACCAAAAAAATCTTGAAAAATGGTAAACTCAATAAAAATAAAAGAAGCTTGGTATCTTTGCTGCGCCTTGGCACATTTCTTATTTCAAGCAAAAACTTCAGAAGAAGTGCCAATATCGGACAATATCTTTTCAAAATTTTTCAAAATTCCTGCAAAAGATTGTTTTTCTAGACACAGTGTGATATAAGAAAAAAATAGTTGAAGAAGCCAGTTTTTTCAAAAAGCCTCATTTTCGAAAAAGAAAATAAAAAACTCAGTCCCCATTTTAACCAATATTTTTTATCAAAGTCCACTTTTGTCACTAAATACACGGTTTCAATATTATATGTCCTAATTTGCTTTGTTCACAAAATATAGCGAGCCAAAGTGGCCTTGCTGAATGCGCTGCCTTAATTACTGTGATGACATCTTTTGGCTTTTGGACACTTGCGCTGTTTCTTTAAAAAAAGAAGAAAAATAGTACGCAACGGTTGGTACAAGCTATGAAAGATTCACGTGCGTCTTTTATTATGGTAATGACAGAGAATGTGTTTTCTCCTTTGTATTCTCGGATTAAAAACAGAATTGGGCACTTCTTTTGTTATTCGAACAGGTTTATTAGAATTACCACTCGGAAAGGTTTAATTTCTGTCAGCTGGTCAGCGGCAGTTCTCGCAACGGACAGCACATATTCACTCGAATGACCGCATGCACATATCCAAAGATGCCTTAACTGAATTCCCAACACACACGGCACTCATTTCCACTCCACTGACTTCTGCTGACGATGCTCCTCGATGGCTACAGCGGGCACATCAACTAAAGTCACATTCTTCAGCTTGTCATTAACTTGAGACACCATCTCAAGAGCTGACTGAAAGGAGTCTGTGCTTCCAGACCTCAGGTTGTGCAGGAATGCTTGATGCTTAACGAGTCCGCCCACACCGTCAGAGGCATTCTTTCTATGCCCGGTAGTAGAATATAGCCACCTTGCGGACATGCACTTGGGGCGGCACAACTCTTAAAGTCGATACCTATTTTTAAAATGGCTCGCTGCACCATCACTGACATATGCCACGTGACAGTAGATGGCCACTCTCTCATCTAAAATTTCATGCACTCTACCTAGGTTGTCACAGGCATGTGCTGCGTTGTGATGCACATCGTTGCCTATGACAGCAAAACTACCTGTGGTTTTCCTTGTTGTGGTGACACAGGTGAAGATGGAGATTTGATTTTTATGCCAATGGTCCCACGGCATTTCATTTGAGAGCAGGGCAGTCCATTCCAATCAATCTGGACCTGTTTTTTTCTTTCCTTAAGATTGTCTAATTCGTTTGTGAATGGAAGACGGGGCTTCAGTGGTGAAACACCAGAAGAAATCTGGACAACCTGTTCAAGTCGTCAATAGCTCCTTCTTCCTGAAGAAATGTCTGGTCTGCTTCATCGTGGTTCTCACTGGATGAAGAGAACATTTCTTTGTGGCGCGTAAAAAACTGCTGGCAAACCTCGTCAATGTCACGAATAGCCTCAACTAGAGCCTCCGTAAAGACGCAACATTCAAAACATTTACGCAACTAAATATTTTAAAGATGATAGTCTGTTTGTCCACTCTTAACCATACCCTAAATGGCACCAAACGATACCCCAAGCGGCCGATGCCATCTGCAGCACTCGCCAATATTTCTGAAGATTTAGCCTTCATACTTGTGCGATTGTCAATTAAAATGATATTATTGCGCATATCTGAGGCACCATAACAACACGTCAATATTCTGCATGTTTGTCTTTTTATTATAAAACGCATACACAAGTAATTCTAAGGACCGTAGCACTTATCTCACTGCCCTGATGATGCAATGCTTGCACAAAAAGGCAAGTGTTTCCAACGCTTTGCTAAGACAACACAGTGGTGGCACCTACCCGTCCCCTTGTGTTCTACACCTTATCACCTCCGAGACGGGCGGGCACGCCACGCGCTTTGTTTTCCAATATAACTGCCAGAAAGCACTCATGTCTCACACGTGACGTGACTTGATGCATTTGTTCGCCCACGCTGCATGCTTGAGGCACTCTAACGCAGTGCCTACAGAATATCATTCACCGATTTCTTGCACAGAACATCAAATAAATGTTCTGTTCATTCTCTCCAGACGCAAGACTATCCTCTTTCGACGACATTCGCATTGTATCATGCAAATACGATGCCATTTTTTTCCTAGCAATCTTCTTCTTGTGAGCATGTAAATAATCAGCACAGAATACTCAGTCTGAGCTACGAGCCCCATGCATCGCGTATAGTGAGCAGCTATACCAATTCGAGATGTTTGTACAGAACAGCGCCGCACTCGTTCTGTTATTTTTTCTACGGCACTGCGGTGACTCAAGAATGGCTCAGAGTTTCACGTTTTAAGAAGAGCACCATCTAAAGTTCTTACTCTGATAATATGTGGCCCACGTTGTGCGTCAAAGGACAAAATCCATCTGGTGCCACCGGCGCTCCTCCGCAGTCTTCTATCCCAGCGGTGAAGATCGCATTTCGATGGTGGCAAAGTGGTAGAGGTGAGAGACCTTAAATTTAGGTGCACTTTAATGAACAATAGCTCGTAGAAATTTATGGAGCCCTCTGCTACAGCGTCTCGCATAATGATGCAACGGTTTAGCTACGTAAAACGTGACCTTTATGTTTATAAACGGTCAAAACGCCAGGGTAAAGGTCAGGGTAATACAGGAAGAAGTTATTTGAGAGCGACATGACAGATGTGACAACGGGAAACAAAACGAATGACTCGGTAGATGTCTGAAGTAATTTCTCCAAAATTTTAATTATGTACGTTGTGCGTTGCACTACGTGGTTGAAGGTTCTCGTATCTACTAAACGGGGTGCATGGGAAACAGGAAGTGAGACAGCCCCCTCATAACAGCACACCTAATGATTATGCAAGCCGGCAGTTGCGGATAAGGCTTTCTTATCACCAATTACATAAGCTGTACTGTGTGTGCCTGGTTGGTTTTGGTAGGTTCATCCAAAACCTCCTCTCGCGGTGCTTCGCATAGTCTCGACAACAAAATAATATTGGCGTAAGTTCACGTTGTAGCCTGTGAAATGGGCACGCATCATCACTTTAGAGGGCGGCCGTCCTCCGGTCTGGCACGCAGGCCCCACCCTAGATCCAATAACATTTTGATACAGTTTGATTCAATGCAAGCTATCAGAATGAAGTTCTTCTGCTGCTGCAAAAAATTAAAATTGTAGGTTTTAATAAAATGCAGGCTAAACAGGCAGTAAGAGCCATGAACCAAGCACCCTCATCAAGGGCTACTTTGGCCCGTTGTATTTCGTGAACAAAGGAAATGAGAACATACAATACTGAAACCATGTATTGAGTGACATAAGTGGACTTCGATAAAAAAATTTTGGATAAAATTGTAAGTGGTCCTATTTTTATTTTATTTTCCAAAAATGAGCATTTTTGAAAAAACTTGTTTTTTAACAATTCCTGTCTTCTATCACACTGCTCTACGAAAACAATATTTTGCACGAATTTTCAAAAGAAATTGCTCGATATTGGCACTTTACTTTTTTTTAATTTTTGTCTGAAATAAGAAATGTGCCAAGGCACATTAAAGATACCAAACTTTTTTTATTTTGACCCAGTTTGTCATTTTTTCAGAATAATTTGGTTTTTCCAACTGTTTAAGGAAAGCATTGATGTAATTCACTGTGATGCGTAATAAAACAAGAATAAAAAAATTCGACACGATGTTTACAGTGCACATTTAACTGTGCACTGTAAACAAGTGCAAGCAAGTGCAAGCAAGTGCAAGCAATAGCGAGACGCCCGCGGCGCCACCTTCAAACATTTTTTTTTGACGCGCTGGGATCAGTTTTCGAAAAGAAAATTTTCGATTCCGTGCACTTCAAATATACCCACATAACAGATATAAAAACCAGACAAAACTAAAATATCATCCGGGCATGCATGTTCAATCTCTCGTGCAATCAACCATTATAAGCTATATTAGTTAATCATAATCACTCGATAGAACATTTTAAACAAGAGTTGCAGTGGCTCGTTACACCAAAAGATGTGGGGAAGTGTGAAAATGCAGCACTTGGCAAATTTTTTATTGCTGTGAACGATTATAGCCTTTTAAAAAATGTTGAAACAATTTTTCTGAGATAGATAGCCTTGTGAACAAGCTTTTGAGCTAAATAATTAAGAAATAATTTAAAAGACATGTTATGATGTAAAATATGCTGGCCACTGCATATCCTTACTTGATCTGGAAGGAGTTGTTGGTGCCTCTGTGATCTAAATCATGGCATAAGCAGGCCACAATGAGGCCAAAGGTCTCCAGGTCCCCAAGAACTTCATGAAGTTTAGTGTTCTGGGGGCAGAAAGCGACACTATGTTAAAAACACAATATAAACAAAAATGGAACATTGTAAATGCCCACCACCTGCAGATGACTACTGCTCGCAAATATTCAGTCTTTTTATTCTTCTACGAAGGCAAATCATTGGCACTATGACCTAGTTGCACTAAAATATTTCATCCAGGTGAATATGAATGAAAACCTTAATTTGAAACAAGATTTCTAGACACTTCTGTTCTGCAGTGAGTTCCTTGGGTTAAGAACAATATCTTGTTGAACACGTTATGCAATAACACTTAGTGTGTGGTGTATCTTGGGCGACGAATAAAGTTCGTTAATTTGTATTGCATTAGTTGGTATGTATGCTACCATAACAAAAAACACAACAACAAGAAAAAAGAGACAGACAGACTGTTCGTCTCTTTTCTGCTACTGTTGTATGTATTATTTACTAGGAGTACCCAGCTTGGTTGTAGCTTTATTGTGTAGATCTGAGCGATATATTTACATTAAAAAGAGGGAAATGCGCTGCAGATGGTCAATATCAAAATAACAACCTGCAGCAGAGTGCCTTTTTTTATTATTTAAACTTGTGCACCCGCACTATGCAAATCAAAAGCAAATGTTTCTACAGGCTGCATTTAAAAAAAAATTCTTCTTCATAAGAGGCAGCAGATAACTGTAATGACTAAAACAGTGTTCTCATTACATTTGTGGGTCCTTCTACAAATTATTCTACAGTCTATAGATGTGGAGTCATTGACAAAAATGAATGCATCTGCAAGAAGCTTCAGGTTAAGCATGCCATTAAAAAGAAACAGCAATAAGATTTTTTTTTTCTTCTAGTTGATGACAGTAATAAAAAATATTGTCTTACAGTTAGGATGGAAAACATCATCTGGCCAACGTTGAAAGCATGCCGCCAGTTGTGGTAGGATACCTTGCGGTAGTTTTTTTTGACACTCAGGAGCCACCGGCATAACACCTGAGAACCAAAAAAGGACAGGCAGTAAAGTTGTGATGCAATGCAACACATCCACGAAAAATGCTGCTAGAGAGAAATTTGCTTCTACAGCTACTGAAAATGGGATACTGCTAGAAATGAGCCATAAAGGCAAGTTCTGGCACACAGTATCAATTATACAAAAAGGCCTGCTCAATCAAAATGATGAACATGGTAGTACTGTTGCACAGAACATGTGCATTTTGAGAGAGAAATGCCATTGAATAGTACACACATCTTTTGAAGTGGTTGTGAAATACTAATACACACACCAGGTACTCAATGTGGAATCGGTTGAGGAAGTCCAGTTCGAGGAAGATACGCAAGCAGGCCTTCAGCATGCCATCATCATCCAAACTGAAGTCATTGAACTTGTAGTCTTGCAGCCGCAGTGATTGCATTGATGGAAGAACACACTCCTGCGCAAGTTTTACATGAAATGAAGTGAGCAAGAACACTGCAACCTTTGTATATTGCGCAGCTTGTGCTGAACAGTACAGTTACTGTATTTACAGTGAATCTACAACATATTAAATTTAATTAAACCTCTTCAGTTGACTGCTTGGTGACCATTGTTAACAAGCTCAACTAATATGCCTGTCATTCATAACAACTGCACGAAAGAACTTGATATGTACCTTTACTGCTTACTTTGTAAAATTCAACATTAAGCAAGCATATTAACCTTCACTCTTCTTAGAAACCAAACAGTGCTACAGACGGCAAACAGTGCATAGATGTAAAATTTTATACTCTAATCGATTTATGGTTGAACTCCTTCATAAGACACATGCACCAGGGACCATTCCTGTCGCTTACATGAGGTGTATCTTATAAGCAGGGAACCATGTTGTCATTTTCTGGTCAATGCCTACTTTGATATAGACATACTAGTGTCACCTATATGCATTTGCCTCTTACATCAGTGTCTTCAGTAAAGGTATACACAGTATAAACAAATCCTCAGTCTGACTAATGTCTGCCTTTCGGCAGTAAGCTCACTACAGCTAAGATGTTTCTAGTAGCATTTACACCTATTTCATTCAGCATATAAAGGTGCACAGTCAACATATACAAGTTAATTCATGAAACCAAAGAGTATTTCCTTCAAAAGTTGAAGAGCGTATGCCTAGTTGTATCCAGCAAACAAAGCTTACCTTCGAAAATGACAAGCCCAGCTTTCAGACCAAGCAAGCTCATAAATGGACTGGTCTCAAAGGAAGGGCTATGCCATAAATGCAGTGCACAAGAAAGCCGCATACAGCAAAAAATGCTGCCACCTCTAAAAATGACACCCAATTTGACATGCCCAATCACAACATAACTGCTAGATTGTAGTATACCCAGAGCAGGTTTCCTCTAATCGATCCTCTAGTTAAGTAATTGCCAGTCCTGTAATCTGCAAGATTCCTTGAGCTGAAGTGATTCAGAATTGGTAGATGATGCATAGTATAGTAGTTTACGTGATGTGCGTATGACAGTTCACAAAGCTTCAACTGTTCATTGGTGCATCTATCACCTAGGTAAGTGTCATCCCTCATGTTGGTTTTTGTTCACTGCCAAGCATATATCAATATAAGCTACTAAAATGTATATTAAACGTGGTTTTGAAGATTAGTATTCCTTCGCTGTGTCATAAAATTGAGATATGATAGCACAAGCACCGGCGCCTACAATCAATTCTACAGTTGCAAATGAACTGCTGTAGCAATGATCGATGCATAATACCAAAAGACAGCAGGAATCGATATCGTGTGCAGTGCATGCTACACACACATATATATATATATATATATATATATATATATATATATATATATATATATATATATATAGACGTAGCGAGGAAGGAAGCGCACTGGCTCCGTAATAAAAACGGAAGCGAGAAAGCACGACTTACGAGGAAACACTTTTATTAATCACATACCTTTCGGCTGGTGGGCCAGCCTTCGTCAGTGTGACCGTGTGTGTGTGTGTGTGCGTGTGTGTGTGTGTGTGTGTATATATATATATATATATATATATATATATATATATATATATATATATATATATATATATTACACACACACACACACACACACACACACACATTCTGTGAAGAGAAAAACCTGGACACTGGATTTAGAAAGGGCAAATCATCTTTTTAAATGGAGGCTTTTGCACAATAAATGCGCGCGTCGGCACTGTTAATCCCATATCATTTACAGAATTAAAATAAATATTAATTGGAAAGCATCAATGTTTTAAAAGGTCCCTCATTGGAACCCAATACAAATTTCGGTGACACTAGATGCATCTTGCCAAAATAATTTTAAAATTTTATTATTATTCAAATTATTCGAAGGAATTAAACTGTCCTGTTGCCATGCGGGTAACAGGACTTCGATTGGATAATTGAGCAAAGTTGCACATTTGTAAACAACTTCTGCAAGGAAGCTCAAAGCGCAAGAACTGCTGCTTTTATGCGAAACCAACTTACACTGAGCTTTAGAGCCTCTTCAAGGGGGGCAGATGCGTGGTAGGAGAGTACCTCAAGTGTAACTCGTTGCTTGGCCATGGCCTTCACAACCTTTTCATACATCTGTGTGTTCTGGATGCCCAAGCCACAGAAGATGGCAAATGCCTGTGCGTGCATGGCGAGAAAAAATGAAGCAATCACTGGATGAACAACAAAGCACTGAGCTATAGATCAGGCAAGCAGTAGTAAACAGTGAAGTGGTTCCACAGTGGTTATGAAAAGGGGAAGAGGGACATGGCATTAAACATGACGCGATACAATTTTTCTGCATTTGCCTTTAACACTTTATTGCAAAGCAAGCACTGCAGGAATCATAAAAAAGCCGGTATGAATGAAGTGTGATTATTTACAAGTGGGTGAGTCAGAGCAGTTGACCAGAAAAGCAGTGACTGAATCCTGTACTCAACACTAAAAACATATTATTTTCTTTTCTGTCTTGCAGCAACTGTGTTGTGACAATATTACAGATGCACTCAACATGACCTCCTCTACATGATGTCATTGTCTATTTGCATTCAGTTGAAAAGACAGGAATTACTTTCTGAACTATTAAAGGGACTGTCTACCACTCAAAAAAATTCTGATTATGGCACAAGTGAAAAGATCGTTCCTCACATCAATGGCAACGAGCATGCTTTTGTACGAAAAAAAAAGGAATTATAATTTTGACTTCATGTTCAAAGTCAATAAAAAGTGACCACTAGTGTCACCCAACAGCGAATGTGGTCAATCTTGACAGTCTATTGGTAGGACAATAAATCCTCGCAGGAAAATTTAGTTAGCCTAAAAACAAACATGTATAACTTTAAATGCTATTTTATGCACTTGAGGCTGCTTTAGGTTGCGCCATAGTCTAATTTTGGCTTTTTTTTTTCTCACATGTTCAAATACCCGCCCAGTGGCACTGCCGACAATGTGTTCGCTTGCCTGCATGCCTGCCTGCAAACGGCGGAGAAACACGAGCACAGCATCTGCCGTTGCTCATGAGAACAACAAAAACGTGTGTGGGTGCCTAAAACAACCCCTAAGGTTTTTGTTTCATTAATAAACAAAACTTGATGAAGCCTGCAAAAAGCGCACATAGTTTCAGTTTTCTACTTTCGCCGGCACCGACCAGTGTTGTGGGCATTCATCCCACCGATGGAAGGAGACAAAGCGCAAACAAAAAAATTATATTTAAAAATTTCTACGCACTTTCCAGAGAAATTGCTTCAACGTTAGAAACTTTACATGGTATGATTTTTATTGCGCCACAAAACAGGAGAGCAATGAAGGACGGCAGACAGTCCCTTTAAGCGATATGTTCTAGTTTAATGAAACACCAATGCTGCCAATAAAATAAGTAAATCTATAGATTGGCAACAGTGCTGCAATGTTACTCTGGAAGTCCCTAACAGCCTGATCTTTACAGACAAATAGAAACGTGGATTCATTTAACTGCACCTCCCATGTACACTGTGCTCTTAGCAAAGTTGCAGTGAATGATCAGAACACATAAGTGGGTGAAGCACAAAGCAACTCAAAATCCCAACATCCGCATGAGAATGTATGAGTTAAATGTACAACCAAATCACCTCAAGAAGCTGCTCGTCATTTTTGTTGAATGGCTCGCCATTAAGTTTATTGATGAGCTGGGCCACCCCTAGGACTAGGCGATTGGCATTGTAAATTGGAATGCAGAGGATGGACTTGTGTCGGAACGAGCTCCCTTCATCCACCTGCAACATCAGTGATGTTAAAACAAGCATGTCAGCAGTGGTGGTTGCTCCTTCAAGAACACAGAGCAATCAATGTGACTCTTCAAACAAGGTGATAACTGGGTGACTTCAAAATAGTATCATGCATTACTTGAGGTTCACTTTGCATTAAAACACAAGCAAGTTCAAGGAGGGGCGCAACACTTTTAGCAATGTGAAATTAATTTAGGTCAAACAACTTGTTGGATAAGCATCAAAATAACACGTCAACTTTTTTTTGCATTAGGCTTTAAATGTAGAAATCTAGCTCAAGCTTATGGGTGAATGTTCACCTGTGAACAAAGATACATAGACTACAGGAGCACGTATTAAAATTGTTGTCTGAGCTATCTAGCAGTGCCTAGACAGCTTACTATATTAGACGACACAGATAGCAATTTCAAGACATACTCTGTGTTCCACATACATTTGCTCACGAGTGTACATCTTAACTCTGTGTCAAAATATTCCTTCCATGCAGTAGAAACATACTATTACAGTTTTTTTTATATAAGTGGCACTGGTAATCAATCCACATGTATAAGTTTATATAGCTCACTGTAACAGAGGAAAACATGATGATATGTGGGATTTAATGTCCAAAAACAAAAGGAAAACACGTTTATTTTCCTTGCCACGGTGGTCTAGTGGCTAAGGTACTCGGCTGCTGACTCGCAGGTCACGAGATTGAATCCAAGCTGCGGGGACTGCATTACCGATGGAACCGGAAATGTTGCAGGCACGTGTGCTCAGATTTGGGTGCATGTTAAAAAACCCCAGGTGGTCAAAATTTCTGGAGCCCTCCACTAAGGCGTCCTCTCATAATCATATGGTAGTTTCGGGACAATAACCCCACATATATATATGTATGTATATATATATATATATATATATATATGTATGTATATATATATATATATATATATATATATATATATATATATATATATATATATATATATATATATATATATAATATATGTATATATATATATATATATATAAATCAATCAATCAATCAAAACAGGTCTAATAATGTATTTCCTCAGCGCACAGACACAATGCAGATAAATGAAAGAAGTGCTAAGCATGTGCAATCTAAGCTATGTTATCGATTTTGTGAATTAAAATAGGTTGGAAACTTGAGTGGGACTAAAATTACATTTAAAAGTTGTGTTTCAGAAACGTAGGTAACAAGTCTTTCTAGTTGTGTTTGCCTTATAGAGTCAAACCTTTATATATAAAACACTGAGTACACAAAGATTATATAACATTACATATGTTTATGATAAACACAGTAATAAACACAGGTTGTAAATAGCTATTTTTCTGTCCAATGCAATTTCATTATCTTGAGCTTCAACCATCTTATAGTTGATATTAATGGAAGGCTCATGGTGACAAAATGAGAAGACTTATTCAGAGAACTTAGATCACTTTTGATAATACTAAATGCAGACCTTTGGATCAAACCGGTCATCCTTATAGGCATCAGGTATGTTGAGGATCTGCAAGATAAAACGTTGAATTTTCTACATGGACATGCAATATTCAATCTTTATTGTTGTGTCACTAGAACATGAAGCCATTTTTTCCAGAAGGTCAAAGCACTACAGCAGAAGCAAGGCATGAGAAAACAGTGCATTAGGTTAGATGGACAGTTTACTAATAACTACATTCAAATTTCACTTAATATCTCCAAATATTTCACACACCTCAACAATAACATGAATAGACTTGCAGAAGGACTGAAAGCTGGGCCAGTTAGTGACAGTACTTGAACATATTGTAACACAATGCACGACTACGCGGACACAAAAAAAGAAGCGCTATGGTTCATCCCTTTTTTTTTTCTTGTGTCCGTAAAGTCGCGCACTGTGTTAAACTATGTTCAAACGAATAGACTTGACTTGGGGACAACAACCACTCGTGGCTAGAGCAACGTTGCAGCTACAGTTAACAAAGATGGTTGCATGCATGGGCATCCGGAACAGAGGCAAGGGGAGGCAATAGCCCCCCCCAAAAAAAAACAACAAATTTCAGAGGATTGCGAGCAGATTTTCCACATTACAAGCTATAACAAATCTAGACGGTCAATGACTTGACTATCTTTGATGGCTATAGAAGATAGCAGATAACTCAGATAAATATTTCATGTTTTATTTTTTTAACTCACAGATTTATACAATCTGGAATGTGAACTTCAGTTTTCAGAAAAGTGGCAGCTGCATTTACCAAAAAATCTTGACCACTACACTTCATTTGGAGTGTGACAGTTTCTCGTGACATCGCATCTCCTACCCTGTGAAAACTACAAAACCTTGTCATCACGTAAGTTCCCAAACTTCACCTATAAATCAGACACTCAAAAAGCTTGTAGGCTTGTACAAGTTGCATGCTGTGCTTTTTTGTCGAGCTAAAGTATTGCCCTCAATGTTGGTCCTTAAAAAGAATCAAATATAAATTAAATTGCTTTACCATTTTTGGGAGTGCAGTATTCATGTTGCGTGCATGTTTAATCAATGTTGCAGTAATGTCATAAGCATTAACATTTCAGAATAAAATACTGCTGAACGTGGACGTTTGTTCTTTCAGGAATGTGTCAAAACACTTAGAAGCGTCAAGTACTGTCTGTATCACATACATATATACAGAAAAAATTTGAAGAGGCAGAAGTTAATTTACAAAAGAAAAAGGACAAACTTTACAGTAACTAGTATGTGCTCATTGATCATTTAGTAAGTAAAGTAAAACCGTTTTACAGGCTATGCATGGAGATTCAGCTCAGACTGAACTGCCTATCGAGATTTCGCTAGTGTTTAAAAGAAAAACTTGGTTAACAAGCCACTTGGGATGGTATATAAAAAATGGCATCAGAAGATCAGCCAATAAAAAATGTCGTAGAAGGTGACACCTACCATAAAGTTTAGGCACAGCATACAGTCCGATCAATAACAGAAAGCAAAGCAAAATCAAAATAGCGTGATTTGTCTCCCCTGAAAAGATAATCAAGCTTTGGCCCTATGAAAGTCTTCTTTGTTCTCCAAAGCACCACAGTGCAGTCGTGCTGATCTGCACAATAATACACCTATCTGCATTTGATAACAACGTGCCTACACTCGAACCGTGACTGATGGCGATCAATGACAAGAAAGTGCCACCACACCTGAGCCGGTGAGGTACCCTACAAAACGGGTCAAAGCAGCCCCTGCTTTCACACTTTGGGTGGCACCTCTAGATACTCATTTTGAAAGGGCAACGCAAAGACACAGGGAAAGAAAGACAGAAGAGACAAAGAGCGCTGACCAACAAGTGATCTTTTGTTGCCAGGACCTGTGCATATAAACTATGTGCAAAAAAAGCCAAAAAAAACACGCGATTGTGAAGAGGTTACAAGCAAGATAACAAGGCTGGTTTTAACCAGTGAAAGAAAATAAGAAACTGAAAACAATAAAAACCTTTTAAGGAACTCATGCATGCGTGATGAGTGAGAAGCACCAGTCTATGATGAAACAAGAGCACAAAGAACAATGGCAATAAAAAAAAAACCTCTAAGATACATAATTTAAGCATCTTAGATGTATATTAGAGGTTTTGTTTGATTTTCCTTATTTTTCGTGCTCTTGTTTTCTCATAAACTGGCGTTTCGCACTCATCACGCATGCACGAGTTCCTTCAAGGTTTTTATCATCTTCAGTTTTTTATTTTCTTTCACTGGTTGAAACCAGCCTTATTATCCTCTCAACAATCGTGTTTTCTTGTTGTTTTTTGTGCATATATATGCACAGGTGACGGCAACAAAATATCAGTTGTTAATCAGCCCTCTTTGTCTATACTGTCTTTCTTTCACAGTGTTTTTGTGCTGCCCTTTCAAAATGAGTACTTTGAACCAGCTAGCCCAAACCAAAGTACTTCTCGAGCAAACCTCTGGACAGTCATGTCAATAGCTTTTACGGCCACATGTCATTAGGCCATCTTCGTAAGGTGCCATCGTTAAAATGTGCAGAAAAACTATCTGTCCTAATCATTTCAGCATGTTCAAGCGTCAGGCGCTGCGAAGTCCAGTGGTAGCGGTGCCAGCACACATGTGTTCTGACCCTTCTTCAGGTGAGGTTTCCATTATTTAGATGCTTAGAAAGATAGCGCCACAAAATCAGACACCGCAAAGGGCATTGTGTTTTTGACTTCATTGCTCACTATGTTTTGAATACACTGGTATGCATCCATTGAACTGGAAAAATTTACCATTGTGAGCATGCATGCATTTTGTTGAATGCACTTCCAGTATAGTGAACCCCAACAAGGTCGCAAATTCGACAAGTGGGAATATATTCATGATGACCAGTCCTGTATCTCGTTTGTGCTATCCATCATAGGGAACCTTGCAAAAGCGAAGGCAGCGTGCAGACGATTCCAGCCATCTTCCCACTTTATGGTGAGCTGAATATGTCCTCTCTTTATGTGAAGGCGACACGGCTACATGTTTCTGTTTTTTTTTTTACAGTAAGCCCTTGCACTCGTGCTTGTCTCTGTGCGTGATTCAGCATTTTTTTGTGCATGGCTGTACGGAGCTGGAACAACTAGGACACTGGACGAGAGACCAACAAGTGGTGGGCAGTACATGTGCGGTTGCTCCACTCTGCAGGAGCGTAAGCGACATTCAGCTAGACAGGTGAACTTGTGAGCACGTGCTTTAGCCTGTAAATGTTTCCTAGTAAATATAGCCCTTTCATGTTTTCAATGTCAGCATTTCAATAGTTATCCTTCCAGCCAGTGCGTATATTTTTTAGTAGTATCAACCACCTGGAACTCTGTTAGGTTTGGATTGTTCGGTCCCATTATGAATACCCAACACTTTTTCAAATGTCCACAGATGTCTAACTGAATTTCATTCATCTGTCCAGCTAGCAAACGATTCTAGTATGAAAATTTTGCAGAATTCGACCAGCCTAGTGAAGCAAACTTTCTGCAACAGACAGTGCCTGAGGTTGTCGACACCATCAGTGAGCTACTGCAACACAGGGAGTCATGATCATACTTCTTCTCTTTACTTGAGATAAAATTGCAGTGAGAACAGCAAGCAACTCCCATTTCTCAAGATTATGACTTGGGTACAGTTTCTAGACAAAGCTAAAAACGTGGGCATTCCAAGATATTTGAAGTTACACCTTCTGAGTAATCCATAGTCACCAAATGCCACATTCGGCATCAAGAAATCAAGAAGGATGTAACACCTAGCAAGAGGACTTATAACTACCAATGGCTGTGCACTGGTGTTGATCAATTTGTGCGAGTTGAAATCTCACATGCAAGTAGACCGACCATGCACTGCTATTCACCAAGTGGTGCTAAGTTATTGCTTTTTGCTTATTATGTTTGTCAATTATCAGAATCCTTTGTATTTTTTCAAGCCTGAAACTAATTATTTATTTATATCTTTTTTTTCATGTGCGTAATTTAGACAATAAATAGTGCTAACCTACTGAACCCCCCCCCCCCCCCCCCCGCGGTTGCCCCACTCCCTTGAAAAAGGTTCTGCAGACGCCATTGGATGCATACTAAGACACTGACAATATGCATTATGCAAATTATCCAAGCGACGTGGATACTGATAATCAAGTAATTCAATAACTGTCTTGCACATGGGCATCGACAGGATTGTGTCTAGTGGGTGTTACCCCGTGTTGCATTGCAGGGGGGGGGGGGGGGGCTAAGCACAAGTGTGGTTTGGGGGCTAGCCAGTGCTCTTTTTGCACCTCTGGCAGATGCCCATAGCATTTATTGCACACATGTTCTATAATGAGCATGAGGATATACATTCAAAGGCTAATTTATTTATGTGCATTGCATGAATACACCTTTCAATAATGAAATATTCATACATACCTGACCAGTTGCAACCACTGACCCTGTGATACCAGTGTTAATGGGAAACCTGCCTTCATAAGGGCTGCAAACAAAGGTAAAAAAAAGTCACACTTCACAGTATGCAAGTGAAAAAAAAGGGTCGTAATGGTGCTTATATATATGACTCAGAGCTTTCTTGATGTATGGGTTCATAAAGTGCAAAAATCAAGGTCTGTGGCTGTAATATAGTATAGCTTCAAATGGTCCTACAGCCTATACACTTGCTAGGTGTAAGTGGAGGCCCACGAACAGTATCTTATGTGAAAATGTTCACATAAGTCTAACTAAGCCTCTACCTATGCGCCATTCATAATTAGGGTGTCTGAACCAACACAACCAGTCAAGGAGAAGCCAAACAAGATAGACAACAGACAATAAGTTAGTTCATACAGACAGTTATTTGTCTTGAAAATAGAAATACAAAACCGGGATAAGCTAGCATAAATTCTTTTAAAATGATTGATAAGATGTAATTATAAAGAAAAATGAAGATAGAACATCCTAGTTAAAGAATCTGAGAGCCACACAACACAAGTAGTACTGTGAAATTTCAATATAATGAATCTTAAAGGTCCGCTAAAAATCATTCGTTATTTTGAAAAGTTGTGATGAAAGTATTGAAGATTTGCACGAAAATTCTAAACGCAAACATGCAAGTTGCTTACCTGTTCTGTGCATACATATGCGACCGTGTTATGCTCTAATAAGCGTAAAAAAACAAACACGAAATATTATGGAACCAGTGCACGTTTGTTTGAGGAAGAGCACAATCTATTCTGATGTGGGCAGCTCGACAACTGAAAGACAAACCTTTAAATGAGCGCATTTTTTTTTATGCTCTGCGAAGCATCGACGTTAAATACCGGTTTTTTACGTTGATTAGCATGCGCTGTTTCAATGCCGTCTTCGCTCTCATAGCCCTTTCCTTATCATGAGAAATGGTATGGATCTTACCGGATTTCAGCTAAGCTCACGTGCATGCTTTGTTGTTGCACTTAGCGTAGTGTTCAAGCGTTAGTGAAGCATGCATGGGTAATTATCGGCTACTTCATCCCATAGGTCGCTCGCATCACATTTTTTACTGTCGTATCATTCCTTTTGTGCTGCTTCTGGAGCTCATTTTGAAAGTTCAACCACGAACCAAAGGCTAGAAAACAGGCATGCAACAAGCGCGCAGGTAAAGCAGTACGACAAAAACAAAGGCAACGGGGCAACGCCCGATGCAAAAAACAAGCACCAGGTGATGATGATGGCGATAGGTTTATTGCACATTTGAATAGAGCGAAGTCAGTCAGTCAGTCAAGAACTTTAATATATGGTCCTGAGGAGTTTAAGCCACCAGGGTGCCCACGTGGGACATCCTAGCAGCCGCTACCGTAGGCGACGCCCGAGTCGGGGCGGGAACGTGGTGGCGTTCCGCCAGTTCTTGGGCCCTCTGGACTGCCTTAAGTTGGTTTCGGAGATTGGGGCTCCTGAGTGCCTCCTCCCAGTCGGACTCACTGGTGAGAGGTCCCTGAGGTAACGCGGGACATTGCCAGAGCATGTGCGCGAGTGAACAGTACACTTCTGTGCAATCTGGGCACTGTGAATTTATGTCTGAGTTATAATGGCTGAGTCGGCCCCGTGATGGGTACGATCTCGTTTGTAACATTCTAAAGGCTACTTCTTGCGCGCGTTCTAGTTTTGAATGGGGTAAAGGGTATCGGCTTCTGTTGTGTCGGTAGTGGGAGGTAATTTCATGGAAGGTGAGTAGTGGGTCATTAAACTGCACGTCTGGGCCCAGCTCTTCGGTGGCTGATTGATCGTCACGGCGGGTCAGTTCTCGTGCTCGATCATGAGCCATTTCGTTGAGGTTGGGTTGTTGTGGGTGAACGTCTTTGCCCATGTGGGCAGGGAACCAAGAGAGGTAGTGCGAGCCCGTATATTTCCGTGTTTGTAAAATGCGGGCTGCTTCTGGAGCGATGTTGCCGGTTTCGTAAGCCCGAATGGCGGCGCGAGAGTCTGTGAAGACATTAGTGAGTGAGGGGTCGGTCATCGCTAAAGCTATAGCAACTTGTTCGGCTATGGCGCTTGTTGATAGCCTAACCGAGGCGGCTGAGCGTAGGGCTCCGTCGCCATCTACTACCGCGAGTGCGAAAGAGGAGGAGTTACCGTATTGCGCTGCGTCGACGAATGCGGTAGAGTTGCGATTCGCGGCGGTACGGTTTAGGATCGCGCGAGCGCGGGCCAGCCGTCTGCCTTCGTTGTGTTGTGGGTGGACATTTCGCGGAAATGGGGTTACCATGTAAGTAGCTCGGACAACTCTGGGGAGGGTTACTGCGCGTTCAAGGCAGGGGTGTGGGGACATGCCGGCCTCGCTTAGAAGTCGGCGGCCTGCCTTGGAGGAGGAGAGGCGGATCACTTGGGCCGTGGTCTGGGCCTCGATCACTTCATCGATGCCGTTGTGCATGCCTAGTTGGTCGAGACGGGAAGTGCTCGTGTTTTGAGGCAAACCAAGGACTTGTTTAATGCTTTTGCGCATGAGTGTGTTTAGTTTCGTCTTTCTACCTTCGTCCAGTTGTGGGCAGAGGCGACGTAATTGATGTGACTCATTAGGAACGCGTGGTATATGCGCAGAAGGTTGGCCTCTCCAAGGCCTCGTCTACGACCCGAGACTCGCTGAATGAGTCGGAGCATGTTCTCTGTTTTTGCTGTGATATGTTTAATTGTTCTTGCATGACAGCCAGTGGCCTCGACGAGGAGGCCGAGAATGCGTATGGAGTCCACTCGGGGTATTCGCTGCCCATCTTTGGCGTGTAGCGCTATGGGTAGATCACCTAAGGGTGTTAAGTTACGAACGCCTTGGCGAGATTGCCGGTACAGTAGCAACTCTAGAGCGAACAGATAAAGAAATATGCGGGCCTTCTGATGATGATGAAAGCAGTAGGTACTGAGCTGGGCATTTATTTCACAACCGCGAGAAACTTCTTAAAATTGCCACTCGTTATCTTCAAGTATTGTATTTGAATACATAAGGAGGATAAAATTTATAACGTTATTCTGAAACATTCCGTATTCTGAAATTCATAGTAGTGAAACATTTTTACATTATTCCAATAAACATTTGGAGGGGAATTTTTAAAAAAGTTGTTAACCTAGTTGTAAAAATTATTAATCTGAGGTTCCCTAAAACAAGATTTGACTGTACTCTAGTTCTGTGGTTCAACTTTGCTCGACTTTCTTTTCCCATCTCTCTGTTCTTTGAGCAAGATGCTTTATTCACTAGCCCACCTAACCATTCTTATATCATAGTACCGTATGATATTATAGATATCATATATAAATATTACAATACCAAAAATATAACCTATACTTTCATGTTTCTTTCAAGACTTTTTCTATGCTTTTTTGTTATACCTAACTTTGGTATATCTTTTTTCTTAAGTGTACTCACCTGGCCCACCACTCTACAACTATACCCTGTCTGTGTACTAATGTACTTGCTCTGTGACTTGCAAGTATTTTTCATGATGTACACATTTTGAATAAATTACTACTGGGGATAGTTCATAACACAAATACCATAGGAGAAATATTGGAATATGGCCAGCTGATATTTGCAGAGATTATTATAATTTGCTGAGATAATTATATTATATCTGCAGAGATAATTACAGTGACCAAGAGGGTGCTCTGGCCATGGTGCACATACTCCAAAGCCCATTCATTGGAGGGCAACAAAAAAAAATACTCATGCACTGTGCTTTGAGTGATTTTTGGAAACCCCAGGTGATCAAAAAACTTGGAGCCATGCACTATCGTATCGCTCACAACTCAGTGTGCACACTAAAAATTTCAACGCCTCAAAAAGACCGAAAACTGATTTTTTTTTTGGCCCAGTTTTTTCCAGCGCGACAGACATCTTACCCTTTGTAGTGTTTGTAGCTGCCATAGTTAATCTCAACAGCACATAGTTATTTTATAAGAAGTATTTTTCGACTAGAAAAGCTCTAAATCTTGATGAGCCCTTTCATCCAGCAACGCTGACAATTGATAGCTATGCCAGAAACCTTTCTGGCAACTTGTGCAAACTGCGTTGTTTTGCTTTCACAGAAGTTCCTGTAACTATGCTTAATAATGTTTATTCTGAGCTTTACAACTATTTTTGAAAATAGCAAGCCGTTATAATGAGATGATGTGACTTTATACAGCTTCTCTGTATTTGTACCGCATTGTGTGCACCTGCGCCCAAGGTTGTTTTGCCTGTGTGGTGGATGGCTTGTTTCATCGTCGTTGCTCTCTCAACATACGAGCCAAGCCGAAGTCACTAAAAATGTCACTGCGCTTATTAGCGGTTGTGCCGAGTAGCAGCCCTAGCAAAAATTCTGATAGAGGTCTGAATCAGTCTGATACAGTTTCCTATAAGTTGTACCAGTCTTGTACCAGACTGATACAAAGTCTTACCAGTTCTTATAGGCATCCACATCAGTCTGATACATTTTCTTACCAGTGCTACCAGTCTCATATCAGACTGATACACAGTCTTACCAGTGCTACCAGCTTTTGAATAAGTTTGATTGGTCATTTATATGGCATATATTAGTCTATAGGTTTTTAGTCTTTTGTTCATTTATCAGATCTTCATAAGATGCATTACTGTCATTTTAACATTAGTTCTTTTTTTGAACACACAGCCCACATATATGTGATTGGTCTCTTCTGCATGTATATTAGTGTATCAGTGTTTTCTATTGAACACTTGACGACTATTGTGTGAAATATTATGATGACTCAAAGAGTGCAACTGGCAGCTTTTGGATGCGTAGAATAAAATGTACAATGTTTCATGATGGTGCATTATTGACAAACTGAGCTTTAAATATGCAAAGCAACTTTCAGCCTACATGAACGCTTTATTCTGTGTACAAATGGGATTGCAGGTGCCAGATAGCAACACAGTAAATGCTGACAATGATAGATGACGTCTAGAAATTTCAAAATACTAGTATCCAAAGCTTATCAGATGACAGTATAAACGTAACTTGAAACAATACAAACAAAACT